CCGCCCCGGGCCGCCGACACCAACTTCTGCTCGCGAACTCCCTTCTGCCCCTTTTTTGGCCCAGGGCAACCTCGACAGCCCTGACAGCGACAGGCCCGCCGCAGTGCCCAGAAAGGCCCCCGGTGGCCCAGCGCCTCCCCGGCTCTTTCTGGATGGAGGCGCCTCAGGAAGGAGCTAGCGGCCTGCACTCTCCCGCCGCCGCTGACCACACCTCCCCTAGCGCAGAGGCCGCTGTAAAGAGCAGGAAATGCTGCACCAGGTGGGCCCAGCGGGGAGGTGGGGCGGGGGGAACCATTCTCTGGAGGGCTTCTGGACTGGATTCTGCAAAGGGGAGCTGGAGTTATCCTGCTAGGAGGGGAGGCAGGACTAGATGTGGGGACACCTCTTCAGGGGCCAGAGTGGATGCAGGAGAGGGGTGGGGAACCTTCCAGACTTCAGGAGCCCCTGGGCTGGAGCTGGTTCCATGGGTTGTGCTCTGGAAACCTGCCTTCCTAGGGAGCTGAGGTGGCATCTGGAACCTGTGGCCTGCTTGTGGCCTTGGAAGGCTGGGTGAACCCCAAAAGCGCTCTGGGAGGCAAGAAACCAGGGAGGTGAACACACTTGTCAGTGCTTTGAAGGGGGCGGTGGAATGTGAGGGGTCTCTCTTTTTCTGCAGACTTCCTCAAATGTCCCTTGTGGGACTCCAGCTCCCTAGTGAAGGCTGGTTCCCACAGACGGCTCTCAGTGAGGCGCAGATGCACCAGCAGCCCCTAAGCCTGGGGCTGAGTGTGGGCCCTGCAAAGTTGGGACAGGAAGGTCTGCCTCTGGGGGTGGGGGGGCAAATGAATGGGCCCTGGGAGCTGAGCCTCCCGGCAGCCCTGCACCTCCCTTCCCCAGCTATGGATTGCACCGTCCTCCTTTCCAGCCTGGGTGGAGATGGAGGGCTCTCTGGCAGTCAGTGCCACGGGGCTGGGGGCTCACAGCCCACTCCTGCTCACCTGAACAGCTTCCTCATTCCTCTCAGCACAGCTGCCCCCCCGGGATCTTGGTGTGAACGCTAGGATGGAGCTGGGGGCAGCCCCTGAGACCTTCGTGCTGGAGCTTCGGTGTCTTGAAGATGGGGGCCCAGGGCCTGGCACCCTCTCAGGTGAGGGGCTTGAGAGGGGTGTGGCTCTGACCTAAAGCAGGAGCTAGTCCTCAGGCCCCCTGGAGGACCTTTTGACAGAGCCCCAGGCCTGCTGTGGTGAGAGAGAGAGGGGGCCGTAGGGTGAGGGGCAGCCTGCTGTCTGCAAGGGCGCTCACTTGGTGGTTTCTGGGTGGGGAGGGCAGGCTGCAACCACTCACGCCAACTGACTTCAGCTGCCTGGAGTAACACTGGCAGGTTTGCCTCAGGATTTTCTGAGGCGGCTCTGTCAGGCTGTGGTTTTGCTGGTGACAGGCTCCCGACAGTGCAGACATTCCCAGCCCATGCCCTGGACCCCGGATGTGTGCTGGCTGGGAGCTGCTGCTGTGTCCCCAGTGGTCAGGTAGTCTCCACTGCCCTCCTACCTGTCCCGGGCTCCAGACTCAAGTTCTCAGATTGAAATCAGGGGCTCTCTCCCTTGTGCCCCAGGCATTGGCCCCCTGGCTTCTCTTTTTCCTGTGGCCTTCTCTGACCTTGTCCACTTTTCCTGACCTCTGCTTCCATCCATCTTTCTCCCCTTTTGCTCAGAGCCAAATGTGGCCCTGTAGAACCTTCCAAGATGCCTTCTCCCTCTGGAACCCACTCTGGGCCAACTTTCAGTGGTGGTCATGCTCCTGGGAGCCAGTTTCCCTCTCTGTCCTTTGAGGGCACTAAGTGAGGGCTGGCTCAGGGTTGAACAACATGAAAAGAACCAAGGAAATTGGAGGGGTTGGGTGGGGATGTGTGGATGAAATGAGGGGTCTTCCGGCTCAAATATTTGACCGAGAAAAGTCTTGCAAGGGTATACACATCAGGTGAACTTAATGTTTACTAAAACATCATTGTTAAAAATGCTGACGTGGCTGCAAGAAGCCAGGACTGGCCACACGGCCAAGTGCTGGGCTAGAAATGTGAGGACTCAAACAGAGGCATGATGTGTCCCTGCTGCTCTCAGAGGTGGCGGGAGGCTGGAGTGGCTCAGACCTGCTTGGGGGACAGAGGACAGGTTTGCATGGCTGCCTTTGCTCACCAGGCACATACTCCTGGCTAGTGTGTATGTGAAAAATACCTGTCCGTTAGCCTAAGCAAACGTTATTAGGAATAGTTTTCTGAAAGGAAATTATTTACGTGGAGATATCCCTTGTTTTTATTAGATCAATATACTCCTGGAAAAGTGGCCAGAAAGCAAAATTTTATAAATAAAACCCCTGCTTTCCATTATAAAATTGAAAATAATGAGGCTGGGGACACCAGGGGGGCTCAGTCGGTTAAGCGTCTGCCCTGGGATCGAGTCCCGCATTGGGCTCCTTGCTCCACAGGGAGCCTGCCTCTCCTTCTGCCTACCACTCCCCCTGCTTGTGCTCACTCTCTCTCTCTCTGATAAATAAAATCTTAAAAAAAAAAAAAGAAAATATGAGGCAGTAGGAAGAACAAATGTTGAAATCAGACTTGGGAATGGAGCAAGCCTCTTTGGACTTTCTGAGAACACAGTATAAATGCTCGAAACAAGAAACGACACGAGGCTATTGTGCAGAGTGACACGTAACAATAGAGTGACACATAGGTGGCAGGGTTTACTCTACACCTGCACAACGCTGAGCTGCACCTGTACCCCTCGAATTCTCGCTGTGTCCCTGAGAAGGGTCGATCTCCTTTTGCAGACAGGGAAACTCAGGTTCCCAGAGGTCACGTACCTGGCTGGTCACCATGCTGACATGGGCCTGTGGAGTTAGTCCTTTCCGTTCCAGACTAACAGTCTCAAACACGTCCCGTCTCGAGGCTGTTTCACACAGGGCTAGTTGTGTCCTCGGTATTTCCAAACTGTTCGTCAGCTTGCAAACTAATTTCCTAACCCAGAGGGAGAGGGATTTGTCAAGCACCTGCCTCGTTCTAGAGGCTTCACCCATGAAGCTGGAGGTGTGGGTATCCTGAGGCTGTTACTGACAGGGAGGCCTCTGAGGCTGTAGGAGGCTGACAGCAGCTAAGTGGTAGAATTAGGGCCTGATCTGAGGACTTCCTGCTGGAAACCTCGGGCTCTCTCTGACACTTCAGGGACTTTTAGAAACCACCTGTGGTAATACTTCCAGGCAGCTTTACAGAGATTCTTTATTATTTACAGAGAAGGCAAGTTCTCCCTTATTTAAGGTGAGACCCTAACTGAGGTCAGAGTTCAGCGTGGGCTTGTGGCTTAAGCTGTCCGAGTGGCTTGTTCGCTGATTCCCACTGGATGGTAATTAAGTCCCAGAGACTTCTCGGAGAATGGTGTTGGGGAGCCCCAGACACCCAGACTCTTGTCACTGCCAAGATCTAAGCATGGAGGCTGTGTGGAGGAAGGCCCAGAGGAGAGGTGGGAGAGCCAGGGTCCAGAGTGATGCGACCCGCAGTCCTTCGGGCACATTTCTAAGCCGGCCCCACACCTCTGGGCATTTCAGTTTCTGCCACGCTGCCATGGCCAATTGACCCAGTGCTTTTGGGTCCCTGCTGAGAGCTCACCAGTGTGTCCTAGAGTGGCTGTCCGTGGGACAGGGTAAGCGGGGAGGGCGTGGGGGCCTGACCCCGAGAGCTGCCTGTAGATCTTTCTCTCCTGGCTTCCTGCCATTTCCACTACAGGTGGCAGCGGTGGGGGTGAGAGTCAAGAGGAAGAAGAGGCTCAGGAGAACGGCAGCCCACCGCGGCCAACAAGCTCAGCCCCGATGGGGGCCGGGGAGCTCCCCGAGGAAGCACAGCCCGGACAGCAGGAGTTGCAACTGCAACAGTCAGAACGGCAGCGAGAGCTGCAGCCAGAGCAGCAAACACAAAGCCAGCCGTCAGGACAGCAGCTAGAATTGCAGCAGCAAGATGGGCAAGGCCAGCTGCCTCAACAAAACAAGGACCTGCGGGGAACACCCCAACCTGTGCCCCCTGGGCAGCTGAGACCACAGCTGCAGCTGGTGCAACGGCAGGAACAAACACAGGAGCAGCAAGCACAGGAGCAACAACTGTGGCAGCAACAGCAGAAACTGTTACAACAGCAGGACCAGTTACAGCAGCAGCAGCAGCAGCAGCAGGACCTGCAGCAGGACCAGTTACAGCAGCAGCAGCAGGACCTGCAGCAGGAGCAGTTACAGCAGCTGCAGCACCTGCAGCAGGACCAGTTACAGCAGCAGCAGGACCTGCAGCAGAACCAGTTACAGCAGCAGAAGCACCTGCACCAGGAACAGTTACAGCAGCAGCAGCACCTGCAGCAGGAACAGTCACAGCAGCTGCAGCACCTGCAGCAGGAACAGTCACAGCAGCTGCAGCAGCAGCACCTGCAGCAGGACCAGTTACGGCAGCAGCAGCACCTGCAGCAGGACCAGTTACAGCAGCTGCAGCACCTGCAGCAGGACCAGTCACAGCAGCTGCGGCAGGACCTGCAGCAGGAACAGTCACAGCAGCAGCAGCAGGACCTGCAGCAGGAACAGTTACAGCAGCAGCAGCAGCACCTGCAGCAGGAACAGTTACAGCAGCAGCAGCAGCAGCACCTACAGCAGGAACAGTTACAACAGCAGCATCTGAGGCAGGAACAGTTACAGCAGCAGCAGCAGCAGCAGGACCTGCAGCAGGAACAGTTACAGCAGCAGCAGCAGCATCTGCGGCAGGAACAGTTACAGCAGCAGCAGCAGCAGCACCTGCAGCAGGAACAGTTACAGCAGCAGCAGCAGCACCTGCAGCAGGAACAGTTACAACAGCAGCAGCAGCACCTGCAGCAGGAACAGTTACAGCAGCAGCAGCACCTGCAGCAGGAACAGTTACAGCAGCAGCAGCAGCAGGACCTGCGGCAGGACCTGTTACAGCAGCAGCAGCACCTGAAGCAGGAACAGTTACAGCAGCAG